AGTTTGAGTATAAATTTACTCTTATTCACAAAGAGATGAATATAGATTTCCATTTATTTCCTTAGTTTGAGTATAAATTTACTCTTATTCACAAAGAGATGAATATAGATTTCCATTTATTTCCTTAGTTTGAGTATAAATTTACTCTTATTCACAAAGAGATGAATATAGATTTCCATTTATTTCCTTAGTTTGAGTATAAATTTACTCTTATTCACAAAGAGATGAATATAGATTTCCATTTATTTCCTTAGTTTGAGTATAAATTTACTCTTATTCACAAAGAGATGAATATAGATTTCCATTTATTTCCTTAGTTTGAGTATAAATTTACTCTTATTCACAAAGAGATGAATATAGATTTCCATTTATTTCCTTAGTTTGAGTATAAATTTACTCTTATTCACAAAGAGATGAATATAGATTTCCATTTATTTCCTTAGTTTGAGTATAAATTTACTCTTATTCACAAAGAGATGAATATAGATTTCCATTTATTTCCTTAGTTTGAGTATAAATTTACTCTTATTCACAAAGAGATGAATATAGATTTCCATTTATTTCCTTAGTTTGAGTATAAATTTACTCTTATTCACAAAGAGATGAATATAGATTTCCATTTATTTCCTTAGTTTGAGTATAAATTTACTCTTATTCACAAAGAGATGAATATAGATTTCCATTTATTTCCTTAGTTTGAGTATAAATTTACTCTTATTCACAAAGAGATGAATATAGATTTCCATTTATTTCCTTAGTTTGAGTATAAATTTACTCTTATTCACAAAGAGATGAATATAGATTTCCATTTATTTCCTTAGTTTGAGTATAAATTTACTCTTATTCACAAAGAGATGAATATAGATTTCCATTTATTTCCTTAGTTTGAGTATAAATTTACTCTTATTCACAAAGAGATGAATATAGATTTCCATTTATTTCCTTAGTTTGAGTATAAATTTACTCTTATTCACAAAGAGATGAATATAGATTTCCATTTATTTCCTTAGTTTGAGTATAAATTTACTCTTATTCACAAAGAGATGAATATAGATTTCCATTTATTTCCTTAGTTTGAGTATAAATTTACTCTTATTCACAAAGAGATGAATATAGATTTCCATTTATTTCCTTAGTTTGAGTATAAATTTACTCTTATTCACAAAGAGATGAATATAGATTTCCATTTATTTCCTTAGTTTGAGTATAAATTTACTCTTATTCACAAAGAGATGAATATAGATTTCCATTTATTTCCTTAGTTTGAGTATAAATTTACTCTTATTCACAAAGAGATGAATATAGATTTCCATTTATTTCCTTAGTTTGAGTATAAATTTACTCTTATTCACAAAGAGATGAATATAGATTTCCATTTATTTCCTTAGTTTGAGTATAAATTTACTCTTATTCACAAAGAGATGAATATAGATTTCCATTTATTTCCTTAGTTTGAGTATAAATTTACTCTTATTCACAAAGAGATGAATATAGATTTCCATTTATTTCCTTAGTTTGAGTATAAATTTACTCTTATTCACAAAGAGATGAATATAGATTTCCATTTATTTCCTTAGTTTGAGTATAAATTTACTCTTATTCACAAAGAGATGAATATAGATTTCCATTTATTTCCTTAGTTTGAGTATAAATTTACTCTTATTCACAAAGAGATGAATATAGATTTCCATTTATTTCCTTAGTTTGAGTATAAATTTACTCTTATTCACAAAGAGATGAATATAGATTTCCATTTATTTCCTTAGTTTGAGTATAAATTTACTCTTATTCACAAAGAGATGAATATAGATTTCCATTTATTTCCTTAGTTTGAGTATAAATTTACTCTTATTCACAAAGAGATGAATATAGATTTCCATTTATTTCCTTAGTTTGGTTTTTCCTAGCTTCAATTCTCATACGTGTTAGATTTTTTATTTGATAGCTTTTTGTACATATGTATCTCTTGGAAGGGTTTTGTTTGTTTTGTCTTGGTTTGGCTGCATGAAATACAGGCATTACCAAAAACAGAGTATTTCCCAAGCAATAAACAAGGTGATTTCCGGTGGATGATTGTAGTTTTTAGTTAAATCTCTTCTATATATTCTTATAATTTTTCTATAATAATTTTCAATTTTGTAATTATTCAGTGTTGTAATAATTCTCAACTCCCTTTTTTTTACCCCTTTCTATATATGTCTTCTAACCCCATTTCTTTATATCCATTTTATTTACTCGCTTCCGTTATCTATACATAGTATCATATTTTCTTGTTCATCATATCTATGTTCTGCATCTATATTTCATGCATCTTAATTTGGCTTAGTTGCATCTGTGTGTTTAATCAATTTCTATGTGATTTTGTGCGCTACCTCGTGCCTTGAGATAATTCACATGTCATATATTAGAATTCAAATCTTTAGTTGCATTTTATGTATGAATTGCATTAGGATTTTGTATATAAGATCATGTATATTTCATTAACTTTGTTTTGTAGCTGTTCGTGGGACATCGGAAAATATGTAAGTTGTTATGCTTTGGCATTCCCATTTTTTGCATTTTTCTTACTATGTTTAGTGTCTTATCATGTGACTATTTGCTTATTTTATATATCTCTATAAATGCCAGTGGATAGATGTGTTGTTTAATTTGGAATAATATCGATTTTCGTGTTTATCAACTCAATTTTTGTTGAATTGAACATTATTCAAATTCTTTCAAAATACATAAAATCAAGTTGTTCAAAAATGAATGACACAGTCTATACTTGTTTTCTTTCACATAGTAATTTTTTGGATTATTAATAATTAAAACATGAACATATAAAGTTAATAAAATTTATATCATGGTCTAATAAAGGTCGATTTTTTGATCGAGTAAATAAGGGTGCTCAATTAATGACCTTTCTCCCTCATATCTGATGTTTCGAGCCAAACATCATTGGTTACGACGAACAGTAGCCTTGGCACAAGTCATGTGTTTCCTAATTTTCCAAAATATTAGGTGATGACTCTGAGATCTGATCACGCAGTCCATTTCTAGCAAATGTTTTGCAATAAAATGGATTTTCTGTAAAAGTTAGCAGATTTGGACTCTCATCTATGTTTCACATTGCACTCGTGAGACTAGATCAAAGAAATCGAGAGTTCGAACTGCTTAACGCGCATGGGCACCCCGGACAATGTTACAATAATGTTTAGAATTAATTATATTCTATATACCTTAGAATTAATTGTACGCTTCTATTTATTTTATTTTTTTTGTTACTATTCTTATTTTATGTTCATATATTATTTATGATTTTTTTTTTTTGCTTCTATAAATCACATTTAATTTCCCTATACACCTTATTTTACATTTATTCTGATTTGTTCATTCTCTAGAAATACAGATATTGTCTGGAAATGAAAATATTGTGTACGTTAAACACGAAATCTTAAAAATAAATTTATAAAATTTAATATCACTTGTCGGCTTGTTGAACCAAATTACCATTTTACTAATAAAAACATACATTTTCAAAACTAAACTGCAAAATCTTGGGTAATTTACGTTATTACATTTCTTAAGAAAGGATTTTTTGGGGTAAGTAATTAATTGAGTGTTTAATACTAATTTTCTAAATTTAATTTTTTGAAAATTAAGTTTTTATTTTTCGTGTTTTTTTTATTGTTAGTGAATTTCTTAAATATTAAATTTTTATTTTTATTTTTTAGATACACTTAATATAAATTCACTTTTGAATTTTCTTTGTTCAAAAGTCCAATACTTTGTCCAAAAGAACAAGTTTAGACAAAATGGCGAAAACACCCCTATAAATACATAACACAGAAAAATGAGTTGGACCCCCTCAAGGAGGCACCATCTTTGACCCCTCTCTTTCTGATTTTCTGATTGGTTAATTTTTTTTTTCCTTTCCCTCCAACCATCACCTGCCACGTGTGTGTAGGGTGGTAGGAGTGGTGATTGGAGGGGGTATTAATCACTTCCCTACATATACACGGTAGAATCCTCTCTCATTTCCAAACAACCCCTCCCTCTCTCTCTACGTGAGCTCGAGGCAGTTCTGCAACTCCAATGGCAGCCATGAACTGCCTGTTGAACCCTTACAATTCTCCTCCGCGATTGCTTCCTTCATGCACTGCCTATCATCAGCCGCAGCGTTGGAGACCGACTCTCCCCTGAAATCTCGCAGTCCTCCTCCGTCGCTGCGGTGAGATCCAAATCCGTAGCTTCGCCACCGCTGACCTTGAAATCCAAATCCACCACCATCGCTGCGAGATCCAGATCGAGAACTATGACGGCATCGAAATCATGGTCGTAGACCTGGTCCTGGCACAAGCAATCACGAGTCGCCAAGGAGTCGGGTTAGAACGAGCAGTGATTTCTCTCTCTGTGTAACAAAAAAAAAAAAAAAAAAAAAAAAAAAATTGCAAAAAAAAAAAAAAAAAAAAAAAAAAAAAAAAAAAACGAAAATGTTCATTTAGAGTCCAATAACGTTATAAAAAAATATTCACGGATTAGGTGGCTCACAACGTAAATATTATATGTTCATTTATGGGAAATGCCAGAAGTCCCAACATTTCTACCAAGCGTCTCCCATGACATTTGGTAAAATATATAATAAAACTGTTGAGGCTTTTAGGATTACTCCTTCATTCATTAGTGTATACAGTGGGGTAGTAGAATTTTAATTTTAATTTTTTTGGGGTCATTAAATAATGATCTCTAAATTTATGTAATTAGAAATAAATTTAGAAGTGGTATGAATTTTAAGTGTTTTTTATTGTGTTAATGCACAAAAAAGTTGGTGAACAACAATTAACTTGTATTTTACAAAATATATACAACCCGGAAATTAAAAAATAAAAAAAAGGAACAAAAATTTACATGCGTGGTCAATATCATGTGGTCTGATCTGATAGGCACCAATACTCAAATATCATGAGGTAAAAATAATTTCTCTCTAAGTTTCAAGTTCAACTCAGGAAGAAAGCATGATGGAGATTAGATCAGATCTGCGAGTTCCACTGAATCAAGGAAAATCTTCTGAAGAAGAAGATCATCTGTTAAGAAGCACCAAGAAAATCAAAAACCCTGATTTACCTGAGGAAACTGGTATGGAAATTACAGCTGATATGGATACGGAGATATCATAAGCAGATATTGGGGACCAACAAATTCCAGTGTTGGATCTTCCTTCTACCAAAACTTTCAAAGAAGCTCTGGCCACTACTAGAAATGGGTCTTATGCTTTCAATAGTAGAGTAGAAATCCTCTCGTCAGATGAGGAAGATGATGAGGTTCAAGAGGGTCACTCTACGATTCAAGCCATATACCCAGAACTCAGAGGCTTTCCTACAATTTCTTTGCCTAAGAAGCTTCTAGCTAAGATCAGGAAACCATGGGAAAATGCACTAATTGTCCGACTACTGGGGAAAAACATTGGCTACAACATGCTCTGCTCCAGAGTCAAATCTATCTGGAGTCTTCAGGGAGAATTTAATGCTATTGACCTGGGGAGTAACTATTTCCTTTTTAAATTCTCTGAATAGGAAGACTGTACTAAGGTCTTCACGGAGGGACCATGGGTCATAATGGACCACTATCTAACGGTGAGAAGGTGGGAACCTAACTTTAAACCATCGGAAGCTTTTGAAACCACAACCGCTGTGTGGGTTCGGTTTCCTGAGCTTCCGATTGAATATTACCAAGAAAAAGTTCTATTTGCGATTGCCAAATCTATTGGTAAACCACTTAAAATCGATTGGACCACGGCTATGGCTACAAGAGGTAAGTTTGCTCGCGTCTGTGTTGAAATGGACCTTAGCCAACCTCTAAAGCCAAAGTTCATATTGGAAGGCAAACTGTACAGTATTGAATATGAGTCCCTTCACTCATTCTGCTTCCTCTGTGGCCGCGTTGACCATAGAAAGGAAGCTTGTCGCTTCAAGCCACTGGGGGCCTTACCGGCGGAGGCAAATCTAGCCATTTTCGATAACGGAACTTCTGGCATCCGAACAATGTAGGACAACGGTCACCTGCAACAAGAAAGGGGTGAAGATGAAGCTTTTGGCCCATGGATGCTTGTGACTAAACGCTATAGGAAACCAACCCAACCCAAGAGGATTCAAGATCCACATGGCCCAATTACCAACCCCAATTCTTTCAGATATTTAGAAGGAAGCCATAACAGCCAAACTAATAATAGCAGGGGAAAGAAGCCTAACAAAACTGGTATGGATAAGGCCCATGGTGAGCCTAGTGTCTCTTTAAGCCCATCTCAAGCCAATGTTTCGAAAGGTAAAGCTAAATTAGGGATGAACCACACTAGACCAAAGGATTCAGACACACTTGTGACGAATCAGTCTCTCTGGAAGCCAATGGGGGAGAGCTCAACAACGCACGCCAAAGATTTCCCACCAGAGAATCCCCTCTGTGAACAAGCTAAAGTGAACAACCTACCTAGTGAAAATCAAGTGCACCAGACTACTTCTGACATGATCTATACATTGGAGAACACCCCAAGTTTAAACGACTCAACCATGGTTGAAGTTAACTCGACCCCTGTAGCTGCTACCATACCAGAAACTTCTGCAATTCTCAAGATAGCAACACCACTGGATCAAGACAAAGAACCACCAGACCTAGGAGAAACCAACAATGGACGGGGAAGACAGCATGAACACAGAAGCACCACTACGAGAGGTGACAGTTCATCAGAACCAGATCCACAATGTGAGCCTATTGTTAGAACTAGAGAATGAAGCAATTTACCTAGTCACTTTCGCTTGGTGGATAGAACAAATACGACTGATAGTCGAGCCAAACTGGGAGGAACCCCACCTGAAGCCTTTTCACTCATTCCAGCTAGCCTCCATGAGATCAGAGGAGGCAGATCGGAGGAGGATACGAAACATCGTTTAGGACCTAGTAACTGACTCACCCCTCCACTACCCTTCTATGGATTTATTACACCTACTTTTCTGGAATTGCCGCGGAGCCGGTAATAATAATTTTAAAAGAAACTTTGTGGAAATCATTCGTGCCCATAAACCTGAGATTATTGTTCTTATGGGGACTAAAGTGCCCTTCAGTAAAATGGGTAACTTCTTCAATGGGTTAGGCTTCACAGCCTCTTCCATTGTTGATCCCATCGAAAGAGTCGGAGGAATATGGATTATCTGGGACCCAACCCAACTGAACGTCAGGGCCTCCTCAGTTAGTTCCCAGGTTATCCATGCAACTATACATAAGGAAGATTTCGAAGAATGGGTCCTTGCTGCTGTGTATGCAACCCCAAACCCAGTTATGAGGGAGCATCTATGGGCTGAACTGGAGGACATGGCAGGCAACATCCATAAGCCATGGTTAGTAGTGGGAGACTTTAACGACTACACAAGTCAGGGAGAAAGAAGGAGCTTCACCTCTTCTTTGAGTTCTCTCAGATCTCAGAAATTCTTAGATAGGATTAACAACTGTAATTTGATTGATTTGGGAAGTTCTGGTCCCAAGATGACCTGGACAAATAATAGGCAAGGTTTGGCTAATACCATGGAGCGACTTGACAGAGCTCTCAGCAATCTAGAATGAAGAACAATGTTTCCAGAGGCCACTGTCAGAGTTCTCCCCCACACCTATTCAGATTATTCACCACTTGTCATCTACACCCAAGGTATGCATACTCTAAATCCCTCTAATAGGCCCTTTAGACTTGAAGCGGCTTGGATGTCCCACCCGGACCTCCTAAACATTGTGAACTCCACCTGGTCTGATATGAATAATAACCTCCTTGACTCTACTATTGAATTCACTAATAGAGTCAAAGAGTGGAACAAAGAAGTTTTTGGAAATATTTTCAAAAGAAAAAGGCACCTTCTTGCTAGGATTGAGGGCATCCAAAAAGTTTTAGCTACTTATTTTTCCCACAATCTTTATGCTCTTGAAAGAGATCTCATTAATCAATACAATTCTACCCTGTTCCAAGAAGAAATCTTATGGTTTCAAAAATCTAGGGCCAAACATATTACGTTTGGTGATCGGAATACCAAGTACTTTCATATCACCACTATTGCTAAGAGAAGGAAAACCAAAATCAATGCCCTTAAAAATAATGATGGTTCTTGGATTACTGAGACGAATGAAATTAAGACTGTTATCCTTGATTATTTTCAAAATCTCTTTAATGATGAAGGTACCACCCATCTGGACCATTGGTCTAACCTAATTCAAACTCACTTTACTCATGATGATAATATTGGGTTTCTCAAACCCATTTCCAATTCTGATATTCTTAGAGCTGTTCAAAACATTGGTTCATTCAAAGCTCCTGGTAAGGATGGCATTCAGGCCATATTTTATAAGCAATATTGGAACTCTATTGGTCAATCTGTGTGTAATTTTGTCAAAAATTGTTTCCGCAATAAAACTGTGCTTCCCGAGATTAATGAAACTCTTGTTGTGTTGATCCCCAAAGTTGATAACCCTGAAACTATGAAACAATTTAGACCCATAAGTCTCTACAATGTTGCCTATAAGATTATAACCAAGATCATTGTGGGAAGAATAAGACCCCTTTTAGATAATATTGTTTCTCCCAACCAGAGCAATTTTATTCCTGGGAGAAATACTACTGATAACGTCATTATCACCCAAGAGATTCTGCATACTTTGAGATATAAAAAAGGCAAGTGTGGTGGCATGATTTTTAAAATTGACTTAGAGAAAGCCTACGATAGATTGTCTTGGGATTTTATCAAAGACACCTTACTTGAATTCAAACTCAACCCTGATTGGGTGGAGTTGATCATGAGCTGTGTCACTAACCAGCGCTCATCCATCCTGTGGAATGGGGAAATCATTGATGGGGTTCATAATAGGAGAGGACTTAGATAAGGTGACCCTCTTTCTCCCTATCTTTTTGTCCTTTGCATGGAACGACTGCCCAATATGATACACTCCAAAGTCAAAAAGGGTTCTTGGACGGGTATCAAAGCCTCTAGAAATAGTCCTTCCCTATCCCATTTGTTCTTTGCGGATGACTCGATCTTGTTTGCTCAAGCTACCCATTCTAATTATGAAACCATTTTGGATACCCTTTCTGAATTTTGTGCAGTGTCAGGCCAAAAGGTGAATCTCCTAAAGTCTAAACTCTTTGTCTCTCCTAATGTTCCTAGAAATGTTGCCCAAGCCCTTAGTTATCATAGTGGCATTTCCCTAACTGTTAACCTTGGCAAATACCTTGGCTTCTCTCTTCTTCATCAGAGAATGACTAAGAACCTGTTCACTGAAATCCTTGTTAAGATGAAAGCTCGACTTTCTGGTTGGAAAGCTAGAACTCTCAACTTAGCTGGTAGAGCTACCCTCATTCAAGCCGTCACTTCGACCATCCCTCTTTATACCATGCAAACTGTAGAACTCCCTAGACAGATTTGTGATGACATTGATAGAATTAATAGGAATTTTCTATGGGGTGATACTGAAACTCAAAAAAAAGTCCATATGGTTAACTGGGACAGCGTTTGCAAAAGTAAAGCCGAGGGTGGCCTTGGTCTTAGGAAGGCTAGGGATCAAAATACAATGCTTCTCATTAAACTTGGATGGAAAATGCTGAGTGAAAAAGATAAACTTTGGTGCAAATTGCTGCACTCTAAGTATTTGAAACACCACAATATATACACTTGGCCCATGACGAAAAATTCTTCACATTGTTGGAGAAGCATCTGCAAATACAGAGATGTCCTTAGAAAGGGTGTCAAATGGATTGTTGGCAATGGGAAAGACATATCCTTTTGGACAGATTGGTGGTGTGGCAAACAGCCCTTATCTCAATACAACAATATTTATCAAGCTGACAACACTGTTATGGTCAGCTCTGTCCTTGATGAGGAGGGAAATTGGGACACTTATGCTTTATCCGATCTTGTTAGTCAACAAGAACTCAATGAGATTATCAACATTTACAGGCCAAGATTTGTTACTTTCCCTGATGCTCCTACCTGGGCTCCCTCTTTAACTGGTAACTTTACTTCAGCCTCGCCCTATAGTTTCATCACTGATTCTGATCTGGCTAACAGAGACTGGACGTGGATCTGGAAAATTAAGATCCCTCAGAAACTTAGATGTTTCCTTTGGTTGATCTTAAAGGGCAGGTTGATGACTAACCAACTTCGGCTTGTTAGACATCTTGCCCCAACTGATATCTGCCCCAGGTGTGGCCAACATAGTGAAGACATGAAGCATTTGCTTAGAGAATGTCCTACCTCTAAAGATATTTGGACTCATATTCAAAATCTCACCTGGTGGGAAGAAGGGAATCAACAACCTCTGAATGATTGGATTATTTTGAACATAAAGAACAAAGATATTTTTCATGGAAAAAAATGGTATCTTATTTTCATTGTTACACTGTGGCAAATCTGGAAAGCTCATAATAAACTGATTTTTGATAACCTGTCCAATCCTATTCAGGTCAATCTCACGAACATTTTTACTTATGTTCATGAAATTGATGAGGCTTTTTATTCCCCTCTTTGCCCCCATTCGGCAGAACCCAAACTAATTCATTGGTGTTGCCCACTTGCAGGTAAGCTTAAAATGAATTCTGATGGCTGTTCAAAGGGAGATCCAGGCCAAGCAGGTTATGGAGGAGTGCTGCGTGATAAAACAGACACTTGGATTTGGGGATATTACGGAAAGTTAGGCCACTGTTCCAGCTTAGAAGCAGAAATATGGGCCATATATAGAGGGCTCACCATCCTCTTCCAGAAAAATACCAGAGATGTTCACCTGGAATCAGACTCTGAGCAGGCCATTAACCAAATTCTCCATGGCCCAAACCACAACTCACCATTTAAGGCCCTCATTGAAGATACTAAATTCCTGTTGCAGAGGACTAACAGCTCACTTGGCCACACCCTACGTGAGGGTAACAGAGTTGCTGATCGCTTAGCCAATATTGGAGTGTCTCAAAATGAGCATGTTGTAGTCCTTGATAACCCTCCAGCTGAAGTTGCTGCCCTGCTTATACAGGACATGACGGGAGTTAGTTTAGTGAGGGACTAGCCCTCTGCCTTGTTGTTGTTTTACCTTTTTGAACTCTTGTTATCTTGTTTCTCTTATTTCATATGAATCTAAAAAAAAAAGTTACATATAATAACTAAGAAAATTAATAAATTAATAAATAAACAAATAAATAAATAAGAACTCAAAATCTGAAGTTGGTGTGGTGTTCACAATGTTAAACTCAACTGATCGAAAAAACGTCTGTGAGAATCTCAAGGTTACTTGACCCGGTATCATCTAAAGTTGTGTTTAGTTTATTAAAATAAAGTGAAATGAATTATTATTTTATTAAATTATTTATTTTTATATTTGATTAATTAAAAATAATAATAAAAAATATGCATTACAGATAAAATCATCATTCATTATTACAATAACTAAGATAATTAATAACTAAATAAATAAATGAATAAATGATAGGCACCAATACTCAAATATCTTTAGTTAAAAGTTACATAATAACTAAGATAATTAATAACTAAATAAATAAATGAATAATAACTAAGATAATTAATAACTAAATAAATAAATGAATAAGAACTGAAATGGTCAATTTGAAGTTGGTGTTTTGTCACAAAGTTAAAACTTGTGGTTAAACTCAACTTATCAAAGAAACACTTCTGACAATCTTAGGGTTGCTTGACCCTGTATAGATCTAAAGTTGTGTTTAGTTAATTGGGATAAAATAAAATGAAATTATTAT